TGAATATATTATTAATTATTCAAACGAAAAATTTTATTACTTGTCATTGTTTGATCTAAACCATCAAGTAAAGAATTAAAATCAAAAAGACATTGACCCATAACAGGTTGATATAAATCTGGATTTCCACCAAGACCTATAAATAAATTGTAAACAAAATTAACAAAAAAAAAAAACAATCTATTCATTATAAAAATCTATCTTAACTAACTATAAAAAAAACCTCAATAATAAAGAAAATCAGAATGGAAAAACAAAAAATTTGCAAACAATAAAAAATAGGATATGAAGCTAGCATGAAAATAACAATAAAACTGAAGGAAGAAAAAAAATGAAAGTTAAAAAGCAATTAGATTATTGTTTGAATATTAATGTGTGTAATTTATCGATCTCTATACACACAAATGAATTGGTGTTAACATCGGCGAGCATTTACAATAATCGATATGGAAAAAAAAAACAAAATATAAAGATGTATAGGTATCTGTGTATATATACATATACGTCATTAACCATATAGATGTATGTTGTTGATCAATTACCTGAGAATGGATTGTCTAAGAAAAAAATAATAAGCATAACAAAAAAAAGAAACTAACTATCACCAATTGAATAATGAAAAAATACAACAATAAAATAAAATCTAAATCAAACCTACCAACATCTTTATCATTAAATATATTTGTTGTTGAAAAAAGTAATTGATCTTCAATTAAATCAAATTCATCAAAGAAATTATATGATTCAGGTGGTGGTGTTGCTATACGACGAAGATTTGTATTTATTTTTGGTGTATAAGTTTCTGTAACTTTTTCCAAAAGATTTTTTGTTTCATCACTCTTAATTTGAAATAGCAAAAAAAAAATAAATGATTAATTTTATATAAAAATTTTTTCAATTCATACCGGTAAATCATTTTCAAATTTTCTTAATGCTTTTTTTGAATTTTGTCTCCATTTAATATATTCACCTTTCAAATTATTTATTATTTGTTGTTTTGATTGTTGTGTTAATTGTGTCTAATTGAATAAAACAAAAAAGAACTTATGATTCATTATAAACAAAATATTTCTAATATAATATAACCGGTAATATTTGTGTATCTAACGGTGAAACAAATTGACAAACAACTTTCTTCATATTTCGAACATCTAAATAAATATAATAATAGAAAAGCAAATACTAATAAATTCTTTTATTTATATTACATTGTTGATGCCATGTTCGCCATATAATATTATTTAAACGAATTCTATCTTGACATTCAATACGTGATCCACGAAAATTTTTCCATTTCGGTGATGTTAAATTAGATCTATATTGATACATGATGAAAATATTATATCTTATTTTTTTTTATAAAAATTTTAAATTTTACCTATATACTGTATTAATAACACAGAGAAGAGAATATAAACTAGTAAATTGACCGTTAGGTTCTGTTCGTCGTTCTGGTACTCCTTGTGGTGTATCATTAAGAAAAGGTAAACCTTGTGTAGTTGCATTTGGAATAGGTGATGGACATGGAACGTCAATTGGCTATAATATATTATTGTACAATAAAAATCTAACAATTATCAATTTGAGGAAATTATTTTACCTCAGCATCATTATCAATACTTGATGTCATAAATTGACCTGAATAAAGAGGATGTTTTTCCTCTTTTTGACTTCCATTTGAAGTTGTATTAGGTTCAAGTTTTATTCTTTTTGCTACTCGAGACATAAATATATATGTAAACGAGGATAACACAAAAAAAAACAACAGATCGTTTCCTTTCTTTTTTCTTATAATCAAAATAAACAAACAGAACAAACAACACTTCAACTGTAAATTTTCTTCCTTCCAGAAACAACAAACTTGTACGTCGTGGAAGCTAGCCCAACCCCATCATTCAGCCTAACGAAAATAATGATTCTATTGGGTGATTCTTTAACCAATAGATATCGTAATATTCGCAAAACATCATTAAGGAGGAGCATAAAATAAATATATTTTGGAAATGGCCGCCTTGGTGATGATATACGCTCTAAAAAATGCCATGCGTCTTACAAGACGGTGCATCCGTCTAAAGTCTATTTTAGACATTAGTTAGACACTAGAAATGTCTCTGTTTTAGACACTTGAGTGTAATAGATACTAAAACGTCTTATGTGTTAGACAATTGAATGCATAGACACTGAAGCGTCTTATTCTTTATTTAACTGTCGCTATTGTGTACAATTTTCATTTCTTTTCTTTCTCATTTGTGATGACTTGTACAAGTGAATTTTATCAAATTTTCTTAAATTATGTGAAGTCGTCAAGTAAAATGTTTTTCTACATTACAAGGATTTTTTTTCTATTCTTTTTTCCTAAACTAATTTTTTGAGTTATGCACTTTCGATATCAAAAATATTTCTTTTAGATTAATTTAGGCTAAAAAGGTGCTGTATGATTCTTTTCTTTTTTTCTAGAACACTATTTGTTGAACATCTATCATAAAGTTTTCAGATTTAATTTCTCATTTGGACATTTACGAAAAAATCCGATAACAAACTCAATCTCACCGAAACTTAATCTTTAATATTTCTCCAAGATGTTGTGGCTGATTTACGAGCTATTTATTCTGAAAATGAATGTACTTCGATATGATCAGTACGTATGAACGAAATATTTTTGATAAAATAATTTTTAATTTTTCTTGTCATCAGATTCGTTTTTATTACATTTAGTTTTAATTTTTCTTTTTTTTTTACAAAAGTTTAACTTCAATCTTTTGCAAAAATTTAAAAGGATTATTTTCACAAAAATAAAAAAAACAATTTTTTGTATAAAGTTAAATTTAATAAAAATGAATTTGATGGGAAGAAAAGTTAAAAAATTATTTTATCAAAAATATTTCGTTCATACGTATTGATCACATCGAAGTACATTCATTTTCAGAATAAACAGCTCGTAAATCAGCTGCAACGTCTTGCAAAGACAGATTTAAGACATTTTGCGTAATTGGTTCAAATGCTCCAACGAGAATTGAGTAAGACGCTCGAGTGTCTAAAAATGGTTATCCGTTGACACTTGAAGTGTCTAAGTTAGCGATAAATCAACCAATCAGAATTAGGTCAAAGTGTCTTATATAAGCGGACGAACCGTCGTGTCTATACACTTCATACGTTTTGATTTTTTAGAGTGTATTTGAATTATCTTTTTCGCTTAAATTTTTTTTTTGAATTAAATGATGATTAGCATTCTTGCTTAATTATATGCAAATGACATGCATTTTTATTATGAACGAAGAACATAAAAACAAGAGTGATTAAAAATATGTAGATATAGTAACAATAAAAAAAAAAACAATATTTTTTAACAATTCTAGTTAGAATCACAAGCAAAACACAAATGACGGAATTATTGGAGTCCTGTTTCTAGTGAATATTCTGTCGGAACATAATTCGTTCTGAACGTAATAAAAAGTTGACCGATTATTTCACCTGTTAATGTCAACCAAGTATCCACCCATCACCAAAAATAATATACGAAGTTATCGAACACAGATGGCCGTACATCTGCTCGAATCAACACTAGCAAAACCATAACAGACCGTCGTACCAATAAACTTCAACCCATGTCATCAACGTACACATTGAACGTTTTTATATTCTTTTATTTCACTTGTAACAACTTTATCATAGAAATTAAAAAAAACATACCAACACACTCCCTAGTTGTTCCTCAGATAGGACTCCGCTACTAAACCACTTCAATAAATATTTTTGAACATCACTAGCTGCTGTATATCTTGATATTATCTGTAACAGAGCGCACATTTTCCTCGATGGTGTTGTTGGTGGTATTACAGCTAATATGATATTAATTTTTTCTAGCATAGGACAGGACTTTTAAAACAGTTGAAGTCATACTTCTAAACATCTTTAGCTGCTGCACATTTTCACCCCACTTTTAAGTTAACCCAAATTTTTCTTAGCAGCGTTGGTAGTGATACTAATACTAACATTTTTTTTCATTTGTGCTAATGTCTCACGGGGTGTTCCAACCTGTTGAATACGTAATTTTGAACGTCTCTTGCTCCTGCACATTATGATATCCTTCTTAACTTAGCACAAATTTTCCCTGATGGTGTCAGTGATGGTTTTACTACTAACATGATCCTAATTTTTTATAGCATAGGACGGACGTTTTCAAACAGTTAAAGACATATTTATGAACATCTCTGCATGATATCCATTTTCATATGATTTCTAAGCTAGCACAAATTTTTCCTAATGATGTTGCTGGTGGTAGTAATACTAACACTATTTTAATTTCTGCTAATGTTTGACGCGGCTTTTCAGCTAACTAAATACATATTTGTGAACCTCTCCGGCTGCTGTACATCGTCATATCATTTTAAAGCTAGCACAAATTCTTTCTAATGGTGTTGGTGGTAGTACTAATACTAACATTTTTTTCCTTTCTACTCATGTGTGACGAGGTTTCAGAATTGGTTAAGTACATATTTTTGAGCATCTCTACTTGCTATACATCATCATACTGTTTATAAGTTAGCACAAATTTTCCCTGATGGTGTTGGTGGTGGTATTATCTTTCGGATGGTCTTAATTTTTTCCACATACGACGGCGTGTTTGAAACAGTTGAAAACATATTTCAGAGCATCTCTAGCTGCTACACATCTTCATATGATTTTTAAGTTAGCACAAATTTTTCTTCGTACTGTTGGCGATGGTATTAATAATAACATTTTTTTAATTTGTGCTAGTGCTAGACGGGGCTTTTCAGCTAGTTGAATACATTTTTCAGAACATCTCTGGCTGCTGTACATCGTCATACCATTTATAAGTTAGCACAAATTTTCCCTGATGGTGTTGGTGATGGTATTACTATTAACATGATCTTAATCTTTTGTGGCATAGGACGGGCTTTTTGACCTAGTCGAATATATATTCCAGAACATCTCCGACTTTTGCACATCGTCATACCATTTATAAGTTAGCACAAATTTTCTCTGATGATGTTGCTGGTGGTATTACTATTAATATGATCTTAATTTTTTGTGGCATAGGACAGAGTTTTTGAAACAGTTGAAAACATATTTCTGAGTATCTCTAGCTGCTGCACATCTTGATATGATTTTTCAGTTAGCACAAATTTTCCTTAGTAGTGTTGGTGATGGTATTAATATTAACATTGTTTTCATTTGTGCTAATGTTGGACGGGGCTTTTGACCTAGATGAATACATATTCTTGAACATCTCCATTTGATGTAAATTGTGATATCATTTTTAAGTTAGCACAAATTTTTCCAAATGGTGTTGGTGGTGGTATTACTATTACCCATGTCGATCGTTCCGGTCACCGGATACTGCAGGAACCGGCAGGAAAGACGCGGAAAAATCGCCGGTTCCTGCAGGAAAACACCGGAAATCAACGGAACATGGAAGCAGTATTCCGGCCGGAAATTTTTCGGACTTTTCCGGCCGGTTCCTGCCGGAAAGAACAGGAATTAGCTGGAATTCACCGGAAAAAAATCCGAAAAATTTCCGGCCGGAATACTGCTTCCATATTCCGTTGATTTCCGGTGTTTTCCTGCAGGAACCGGCCCGTACTTCTCGACCTGGGTAATAGGATCTTAATTTTGTGCGGCATAGGACGGGGTTTTTGAAACAGTTGAAAACATATTTCTGAACATCTGTATCTGCTGCACATCTTCATACGACTTTTAAGTCAGCACAAATTTTCCTTAGTAGTGTTGGTGATGGTATTAATATTAATATTGTTTTAATTTGTGCTAGTGCTAGACGGAGCTTTTGACCTGGCTGATTACATATTCTTGGGCATCTCCGGCTGATGCACATTGTGATATCATTTTTAAGTTAGCACAAATTTTCCCTGATGGTGTTGGTGGTGGATTACCTTTAACATGATCTTAACTTTTTATAGCATAGCACGGAGTTTTTGAAACAGTTGAAAACATATTTCTGTACATCTGTACCTGCTGCACATCTTCATATGGTTCCCAGGGTAGCGCAAATTTTTCCCGATGATAGTGATGGTGGTATTAATAATAACACTGTTTTAATTTGTGCTAGTATTAGACGGTGCTTTTGACGTAGTTGAATATATATTCCAGAATATCTCCGACTGTTGTACATCGTCATACCATTTATAAGTTAGCACAAATTTTCCCTGATGGTGTTGATGATCGTACTAATAGTAACATTTTTTTCATTTGTACTCATGTGTGACGATGTTTTCGAATTAGTTGAGTACATATTTTTGAACATCTCTACATGCTGTACATCGTCATACCATTTATAAGTTAGCACAAATTTTCCCTGATGGTGTTGGTGGTGGTATTACTATTAACATGATGTCATGTGTTTGGGGCATAGGACGGGATTTTTGAAATAGTTGAAAACATATTTCTGAGCATCTTTAGCTGCTGCACATCTTGATATGTTTTTTAAGGTAGCACAAATTTTCCTCAGTTGTGTTGGTGGTAGTATTAATATTAACATTGTTTTCATTTGTGCTAATGTTGGACGGGGCTTTTGACCGAGATGAGTAAATATTCTTGAACATCTTCGAATGATATACATTGTGATAGCATTTTTAAGTTAGCAGAAATTTTCTCCGATGATGTTGGTGGTGGCATTACTATTAATATGATCTTAATTTTTTGTGGCATAGGAGGGGGTTTTGAAACAGTTGAAAACATAGTTCTGAACATCTCTAGCGGCTGTACATCTTCACATGATTTGGTAGTTCGCATAGATATGGTGATAGTGGTTTTGGTGATATGATTAGTAATATTATCTTGTTCTTGGGTCATATGTTTTTTTCTATATTGACGGTCGCTAGGGAAAATTATTGGTATTGTATGGATTGTTTTAGGTATTTTACGCGAGGAATAGTATGTGGCTGTTGTCTGCTATCTTAATCGTAGCTACTTTCAATGCAGGTTTGCTGTTTATAATTAATATTTCAATGTTAATATAATATTCAATTCATATAGTAATTGGTTGTAAACATTCGCATTCTGCAGCTCTCTCTCAAATTCAATCTGTTGGCATTGGAATTTTATCATCAGGTGGTTGCAGTAATTGTAATAATCCAAAATGTACATCACTTGATCAAGTGAATTGCAATGCAATTCGTTGTTTGAGAACACTGAAAACATCTTCAGGTTGTCCTATCACAGTTACTGGAGGCACAGTAAGATAATATCATCAATAAATATTTTCTATTATTCGATCATTGGTTTTTTTTTGTTTTGAATTAATAGGAAACTGGTCATGCTAGTGGAACACATTCACATTGGAATGGATATAAAATTGATATTTCACTCAATTCATGTATCGATTCATATATTACAAAACAATTTGCTTACATTGGTAAACGAGGTGATGGTGCTACTCAATATAAAGCATCAAGTGGCAATGTTTATGCTAAAGAAGGCAATCATTGGGATATTACATTCACTGCTCAATGTTAAACATTTTCTTTTTCTTGATAACTAAAATGAAATGTATTGTATTGAAGTCATCTTTCTTATAATACATTCGATATAAATATTAAAAGAGATAATAACTATTGATGAAATCAATACAAGAAATTAATATTGAAATATTAAATATTAAAGATTAATGTTTTCAAGAGAAGAAATTATTCATACTTATGTTTGTTGTATTTTTTAAGAATATTGTAGAACGACTATTTTGACAAAACACAGTTCTTATTAGTGACGTAACCAGAGAGAGGACTCAGCTCGCTCTAGAAATATTTGAGTCCTCCTAGAAAATTTGAAAGCTCCATGGACACTGATGTGAAACCCCTTACGAGATGCTTAGTAATCGTACAGTTTTTTTCCTGGTTACATCACTAATTCATAAAGAAGGTATCATTGTTTGCACTTTTGGCAAAAATAAAATCTTACAGGTGAAATGGACAATAAATGTCAAACAAATCTAGACGACTCTTAAGCATTTGTAATAAAAAGAATAGAAAATGCAAATTATTTTGCATAGTTGAGATGTTAGACAAAGAAATCAAACTAATTCAATTGTTTTTTTTTTTCGTCATTTCTATTGATGAATTTTCAATTTCATTTCAATCGAAACATATCGAATTCCGAGAAGAAAAAAAAAATCTTTTTCTTATTACAACCAAAAAATACAGTCAATAGAACACAATGTACATCGAGTTTATGGTGAAGACTGTTGTTTTCTTCTTAGTTATAACTATTGTTAACAGTTCTCACTTTTTGGGTGGCACTATCAATTGGTGTATAGAGAATTCGTCAACTAATAGTACATGGGTAGCTATACTTATTACTCAAACATATTCTTGGACATATACTCCTGAAAAATATGATCATGGTGAAATTGCTGCACATCAAGTAGTAGCTGGTACAGGAGGAATACTAACTTGTTCACCTAGTTGTCCAACTGGTTTTGGAAGTGTGTCTACTACACCTTATTGTACTGATGTTTCCTCACTCAATGGAATCGCAGTTGGACAACGTTCAGATGTAGTTGTAATACCAGAAGGCAGTGATTTTTCAGTGATTTATGCAAGTAGTGCATGGGGTAGTCTAACGTTAGGCGGAGCTGGTTGGTCTATTTCATCGCATATTAAGCTAGTAAAAAAGATCCGATAATGGCATGTTTAACAATGCTCCAGTAGCCACTGTCATGTCTCCAATCATTATTCAACAGAACAAAACGACACTGATTACTATCTCAGTCAGCGATGCTGATGGAGATATTGTTCGATGTCGTTGGGCTACTAGTTCGAATGGTGTTGATGAATGTGGTTCCGTATGTCCACCACATTCATTACCAGCCAATACAGTGATTTATTCAAACTGTACTATTGAAGTTATTGGTACAATTGCTGGTAGTCGATATGCTATAGCAATTATGGTCAGTTTTGTTCTAGCTTGAAAAAAAAATCTAGTATTTTATTTTTCTCTTATCTAAGCAGAGGATTTCATCAATTCAACTAGTACAACACCATTAAGTTCAGTACCTGTTCAATTTCTTCTTGAAGTCGTTACTCCATCATCATGTTCTATTCTACCTGAAGTGTCGCTTACTGGAAAATCATGTACACCAATTAAGGTTAATGAAACATTTACATCCCAATTACTTGGTATAAATCATTGTGGAGAAAATGTTACTATTATTGACATATCTACATTGTCTTTTTCTGGAATGATTCAAGAATCTCTTGCCAAATTAAGTTCTCTCATTTATTATAAAAATATAACTTGGACACCAACTATTTATCAACTTGGCTATCAAGTTATGTGTGCAATGGGTTTGAACAGGTTTTTATCATAGATTGTGTTAAATTTTTTAACTTTAATCATCTTTGTTTCATATAGTCAACATGTACAATCATTGCAACATTGTTTCACGTTTTATGTAACAGAAAATGGTACGGATACATGTCCTGGAGTTATAGACCATAGCACAACGACGATCTCATCAATATCAACATCAACAACATTAATGACAACGACAAACACATCAACATCAACCCAAATACTAACATGTTTGTAAAAAACAAAATGTTCGTTTTAATTCTATATAAAATCTATTGTTATTATATTTTTAGCTAGTTGTATCAATTGGTTATTGGTTGCAAGTCTTGCTGCTTTGGCTCTTCGGACTACGGCCTGTAATTGTTGTTTACTTTGCCATTGGTATAAGTATGTTAAGCAAAAATGAAAAAATTCATCAATCTATCAATTTATTTTGCAGAGGCTATAAAAATAAACGACAACAGAAATTGGACAAATACGATTCATCTAAAACCTCTATGTCTTTAATATCTATATCAAAGACTAGTTTTACTGTGATGCCTATCGATACTGTCTATTCTATTTCGAATGAGAATATGCATAAATCAAATATTGATGAAACACGTTTGAATCATACAAAAGATAAAGATTTTTTGTTTTACTAAGCTTTATACGAACTATTATTCATTCAAAGTTGACAATCATATATCATGAAAGATTATGTCCAAATTTCATTATCCAAACAAAAATCTATTTATAACATCATTTAATGAATTAAATTCATCTATGAAACCATTAAATCTTGATCAAAATCTGACAATGGTAAGTTCGAATAGTGTTCTGTCATAAATAGATACTAGTAAAGTATATGTAAATACTATAACAACGTTATTCATTCTAGATTGAAAACATAAATTTATCATCAACATTAAAACAAGTCAATACAAAACCTAACATTAATATACGATCATGGAATGGTGTTCGTATCAAACGCATACGAAAAATAGACAATAAAATGTAACAACAACTAACATTTTTAACCATTTAAAATCGTAAACAAAAGAATTTCAAAAACCTAAGTTTATTTATAAAGACTCGTCTTCGACGAATATCATTATCAAATATATACTCATGAGGGAACATATTTGAGGGTCTTCCTGAGACTAAGTTTAAAACCATTCTATTCGGCACAGACTTCGATGTATATGTCAAATATCAATGTCTTAGCTGCCCTTGTTTAGGTCTGAAAAAAAAATGAGACAATCAAACCTGTTCATTATTATGTCCTTTCCTTGTGTTATACCTGTATTACTTTTTCACTTATATAAGATTGGCAACTACGATCAATCTTTTTCATAGAAGAGCTGTCCAAGCCAGCAGAATTCGATATCAAAGAGCCGTTTATCTGTTACGAATGATGATATCACATGTATGTTTTCCAACGCTCATTCTTGTTTTGACTCTACATGGTCACCAGAAACGTTTCGAATGCTCATCGTCACAAACAGCTATATCGTTCCGCGTCAGACAAAATGGATTGTAAACAAGCATCCATTTACGGCATACTTAACATGTAATGGAAGCCGTCTTACGCCACTCTATATGAACATAATATGGATCGTAATACTGTATAAACTTCATACAGTGAAATATGATGACTCAGAAACAATGTGAAAAACCGGGGAGCTTTTGATCACGCAATATTGATTGATTCCATTTCAAGTTAATGAAATATCAACGCATCTAATTTTCTTTTACTTTTCCTATAAAGAGAAAGCGTAGTCACTTCCACTAGGTGGCATGCACAAAAATAACAATTACTGATACTTGACCAGCAAGCATAGACGTCACAATGCTACTCATGATACATAATTGCCTTTTTCATGACCAGTTGTGCTCATTTCCGCAAACTTTACTATAAAAAAAAATTAATTAGACTTACCAAACTTCTCCAACTGAAAAATGACACAGGTATAAAACAAGGAAAGGACTAATAATGAACAACTTTGATTCTCTCATTTTTTTCCGATCTAAACGAGGGCAACTAAGACATTGATATTTGCGATATACATCAAGGTCTCTACCGAACAGAACAGTCTTAAACTGCTTCTAAGCGAAACACTCAAATATGACCCATCGTTAGACGATGAAAACTTGCTATGCAAAAAATGGCCACATCTTAGAATATTTCAAAGTCTTTCTTCAATAACTGGAAAAACTTTTTAGAATATTCTAAATAACACACAAACACGATGACTTGTTACACCAGTCTCCATTTAATGAACATAAAAATGCATGAACTAATCAAGTACTAATTTTCAGAAATAATCGATAACAATATTTCTCAGTTTATTCAGCTACATAATATAGCATTGAGATCTGCCACGAAATGTATAAAACAGATGATCATAGCTCTCATAATCTGTCTTATCCTTGAAAGACAGGTCTATAACCTTTTTATTCCAAATTCTAATGTATAAAATGGCCACTGTAGAACAAAAAAAACCTAACGATATTTGAATTTCGGATATGATATTTATTTAAGCCAATTGAAAACTAGATGAAATCTGATAAACACAACTACTTGCTACTTTTAGTTATTAATTATCCGAGCAGTGAGGATGCCTAGCCTTCTTTACAGCCTCTTGGTAGAGTTTGATAAAAACTGTGTTTTAAGAAAAAAGTCAACTAAAATAACCATCTGTAAGCAATAAAAAACAAAAGGTATCGTCACTCAATGATTGGCATTTGGAAAAGGACTCATTGTAGGTGGTCTGATGGGAAAACTGTCAAAGACTTGAATGTAAAATAATTTCTAACTTTAAATGTCTTATCTTCATTATCTTAGGCGTCTTTTTCATCTCAGACCAAAATATGATCAATCTTTAATTCTTCGAAACGTAGTTTATTTTTCTAGTTCTGATGCACATGTTAATCATAAATTGAACATTTTTTTGCTTTTTTCTAAGATGAATTTATCTCAACGAGCATCAAATGAATAACAAGAAACAACTAAACCAAATATTCATATTATTGTTCATATTCATGGTGGTGGTTGGGTTCGTGGTAGTCATACAAACAAATGGCATGGTAGTTTAACAATAGGTCGAACATGTGCTCGTGAAGGTTTTGTTAGTATTATTGTATCTTATCGTTTAGCACGTATATCTCTTCTATCATTTCTTGCTTGGTCATTTATTTTTAGTCTTATTATTATTATTATTATTATTATTGGACTGTGTTTACTTTCATAGCAACATATAACCGATTATGTAGCATTTATGACATGTGCTTATGGTTATAATTTTTTATATAGAGTACGAGTACCAGGCAATGTTGAATATATAAGTAAACTATTTAAAAAAAGAATAATGAAATTTTGTATATATTTAGATGATGGATAATTTATGTCATATACTTATTTATATCCGTGATCATATAAATGAATAATGTCCAGATGCTGATCCAAATCAAATATTTCTCTCTGGTTATTCAGCTGGTGCACATTTAATTAGTTTACTTGTTCTTGATAAATCTCATTTACATCGTCATGAATTTCCTCTATCAATAATATGTGATGTTATAACTATAAGTGGAATTTATAGTCTAGCAAATTCAACACATGATTAATAAAAAAATATTCGTAATTTAATATTTCGTATACTTTATTCAAGTAATCTACTTTATTCGGAAGGCAAAGAAATGAACAAATATTTACCTATTGAATATATAAAACAAGATGAAGAAATACTATCATTTCTTGTTTCTTGTTATGTCAGCACGATATGATATGAGTTTAGAAGTGAATGCAAAACATTTTGTTGAAAAACTTAAAAATTATCAACATTCTGTTGATTATTTTACTGTCACTGGTACACATGGAACAATTGCAAGTAAATTTGCAAAAAATGATGCACGAAAACATTTTTTTTTACATTCATTCGTTAACATATGATATATTAAAAACATACATATAGATTTATTCACCTAATGAAATCTTTTAATTGATTGAATAATTAAAAAAGTAATATCTATCATTGTTTTTATATTCAAGATTCATCAATAAATTTTTCATAGTAAATAATAATTTTTCTTGAAGCCATACACATAGAATCTATCTTGCATTGTCAGATTTAGTCATTGAAGAGTAATGATTAAATGTATAAATATAAGATTTATTTTTTGTGAATTTGAGAAAAAGAGAAAACTACAATATGATTTATTATATTGAAAATCACAAAAGATTAAAAAAAAAATGTTGTGCCATTTTGATTTCCTTTATATATCAGTGAAGATATAATATTCTCAAGCAAGAAGTTGCTTTGTTTGACAAAATGAATTCGAGGAATGGTGACTCAATGATATAAATGCATAACAAACAGTAAATTTTGAATCGTTGTCGTTGGGTTTTACTTTTTATTATATATATATATTCCAACGAAAAATCGATCATAGAGAAAGACAAAGAATTCATCTAAAGTTGATAAAAAAAATTTCAATGTTTTTTTTTGTCTATAAATTTTAGTTATTGACTAAATGTGATGGGACAGTAGTATTTTGTGTTCTAGCTGTTGTTGATGATGCAGATGATGTTAAATAACCAGCAATTTGTCGACCAACTGAACCATCGGTTAATGCTTGTATATGTTATAATGTTTGAATAAATAAATCATGTCGTGTATCTTTAAAATCATTCAAAACAGTTGATGATTGAAGTATGCGTGATACTTGTTCATTATAAACTAATGATTCAGCCATAAATTTACATGAATCAACAAGATGTGCTTTACATGAACCAGATTTTTCAACATTATTTAATGACGTTGATTAGGTAATGTAAGAATATGTTCAATTAATTAACACCGTAATGCATCTTTTGATAAATTCATGAGATGTACCAAATGCTGGAGCACGAAATAAATCATGCAATCATTCAGCAATAAGTCTGTGAAGCTTTTATGTGGTTGTCCTTTGTGTCTTGTGCTTCCTCTTATTTTGTCTGTCTACGTGTCTTCTATCGCTCTGCTGCTATTGTTGCTACTATCTCTCTCAATCGCGTGTTATATTATATTTTTCTCTAAATATCTCTCTTTGCTTTCTTTAAAATTGTACTGACAGGATCTTCGGATCGCAGTGATAGCATAATAAATAAATAAATAAGTCCTTGAAGAAAAAACAGAAACATAAGAATTTTGAGATATTTGGGAAAAAAAAACTATTAAATAATCAAATCTTCAGTATGATCAGCTTAAGATTTTTATAGAAATATTGAGATCGAAACACATGCGAAGCTATTTATATTCCTAAGTTGTTCTTGTCAGGTACTTATTAGTTGAACATATATTCATATTTATTGCTTTTGAAATTCTTGACCAATGATTGAAATGCAATAGCGAGACATCATGAAATTTCATGCTATTCTTCATCATTGACTATAATATCACTTTTTTGAAAAGTTAATTTTATAAAAATTATCAGTTTCAATTAGTTTCTTTTTTTTTCTTGTATCGTGTAATAGCTTAGATCTATATTATTAACCAAATTCATGTCAAAGAAATGAAAATAATCATACTAATCTACGTTCAAGATAAAAAATATGTGGTTTATATATAGACTAGTAAACGACCATAACTTCTTATCGTGACTGTTTAAAACATTTGACAAAAAAAAAAAAAAAAAACTCGTCTCTTAAAATACTTTTCTTGATAAGACGCGATGAATCTTCAACAAGTACGCAGATCTCTGATCTCGTTACATTATTCTTCATTAAGGAAAATTATGCTACGTTTATTCTTTTATTTTTTGCTAAATCTTAATACATCATTATCAATCTATTGAAATCAAAGGAAGTTATTTTATATTGTTATTTCGAAAATTTTGATAAAACAATTCCGTCATTTAAAAGAAGAGAGAAAACTCATTTTATTTTTCTATCGAGATGATTACTTCTTTTTTTTTGCCTAGCTTGTTTAAATCCACTAATATTTTGTGGACATTTTATTGAAAAGTTTTGTAACCAAATATCCGATTTAAAAAGTGCAAAAAAAAAAACTTTAATGGCTGATGCAATAATAGCACCATTACTTTTATATTCTAATATTGAACAATCAATGGTAATTGTTCACACAATGATGTTTGAGCATGTAACAATTGGATAAAAGATTCTATTAACATTTCAAATTCATCGGTATGTGACATAAGAAATTGTTCTGATTGACCAAAACTAAAAACTCAAACTATTATTTTTCGACTTTTCGTAACAAGCCAATAAGCGAAACTCATTGCATGTCAAAAATAATTTAAAAATATGAAAAGAAGATGAGAGACGATGAATGCTCTACTTAGCACTAATAATTTTTTCTTCTTTTATTGAAAAAAAAAACAACACGAATGGGCACAGGAAACAAGTTACATTTGTGCCTCATCTGTTGTATGACGAGAAGAACGTGGAGGCAAGGGCGGTGCCACGCCCAGGTCAATCACGCTCGGCAGTAAACGGCCGTCCACTAACCAAATACGGCGAAAAACGGCAACTGTTTATGTTAGTCATATACAGCAGCCGTAAACGATGATTTACAGCATATTACGGCAATCGTACACAGTGTCCGTAAAAGTTCATCGTAAACTACTACCGTAACAATACGGTGACTGTATACTTTCGTCGAAAAACAATGTAAGGCGTCGTATACGTCAGCCGTTTGTGGTGGCTGTTTACAATGGTCGTATCTGATGCTTTACGGCATGCTACGGCAATTGTAAACATTGACCGTAAAGTATCGTAGGAAACGACTAGCGTGACAACACGACGACCGTATACGCTGGTATTATAAAATGTCGTAAAACACAGTGTACGTGAGCAGTATACAGTAGTCCCTTACGGCGATCGTAAACGACATTTTACGATGATTTTGCGGCCGACGTAAACAATTGTCATAAACAGCAACCGTGTACGACTTCTGTAACAATATGCCGATTGTATACGCTCATCGCATAATATCGCGACGTACCGTCTTTGTTTATTGTAATTCGTTCGATATAGAATCACTATTTGTTATTGTATTTCGTCGCAAACGATCGTTAAATGTCGGCGAATTTCTATTATTGAATATCAATAACATACTCTCCTGATGGCGTATACTAGTCGACAGCTAACAAAAGTTCCGTTTCTACAAAGTCGAGAAAGAGTCACAGGAATTCCAGCAGTGTACCTTAATCGAAAAATAGTCTTTTCTGAGTCTTTTTCCGTCTCACCTTATCCTATACATCGGGGTGCCCCTCCTGTTCACCCTCATTCGAGCTCAGTGCACATTGTGAGTAACAAGTAAGAAAAACCGATTTTCAAACACCGTTGCTTGATCTACCAAAAGTCTTCCCTTCGGTCTTCTTGAGACTCACCGTACTCTAAATATAGGGCGGCACCGCCTATCAACCCTCATGCCGCTTGGGCACAAGGCTTCAGTAACAAGTGCGAAAAATCGATTTTACAGCACTGTTACTTGGCCTTTAAAAAGTCTTCCTTTCAGTCTTTTCAGGCCTACCTTACCCTATATATATGGGTGCACAACGTGGTCGTGGTCATTTGAGTTCAGAGTCAGGTATGAGTAACAAGTATGAATAATAGATTTTTGAGGAGTATTATTTGATCAAAAAAGAGTCTTTTTAAGTCTCACCCCCTACTATATAAAGGGCTGTAACACGAGCTCGTGGTCATTTCAATTGATATTCAGGTGTGAGTAACAAGTATGCATAATAGATTTTTGAGGAGTATTATTTGATCCAAAAAGAGTCTTTTTTAGTCTTTTCAAGTCTCATCCCCTACTATATAAAGAGCTGCAACACGTGCTCGCGGTCATTTCAATTGAGATTCAGGTGTGAGTAACAAGTATGAATAATAGATTTTTGAGGAGTATTATTTGATCAAAAAAGAGTCTTTTTTTAGTCTTTTCAAGTCTCACTCCCTACTATATAAAGGGCTGCACCACGAGCTCGTGGTCATTTCAATTGAGATTCAGGTATCAGTAACAAGTATGAACAATAGATTTTTGAGGAGTATTATTTGATCAAAAAAGAATCTTTTTTAGTCTCACCCCCTACTATATAAAGAGCTGCAACACGAGCTCGTGGTCATTTCAATTGAGATTCAGGTATGTGAAACAAGTACAAACAATGGATTTTTGAGAAGTATTATTTGATCAAAAAAGAGTCTTTTTTAGTCTTTTTAAGTCTCACTCCCTACTATATAAAGGGCTGCAACACGAGCTCGTGGTCATTTCAATTGAGATTCAGGTATGAGTAACAAGTATGAACAATCGATTGTTTAGCGGATGATTTAATGGAAAGAGAGTCTTTTTAAGTCTCACGCCTACTATATAAGGGGCTGCAACAGGTGCTCGTGGTGATTTCACTTGAGAGTTACGTATGAGCGACCAGTGTGAAGAATGGATATTGAGAAGTAGTATTTGATCAAAAAGAGTTTTTTTTAGCGTTTTTGAGTCTCACCGCTACTATATAAGAAGCTGCAGTAAGGGTTAGTGGTCATTTGCATATAGTATTAGGTATGAGTAACAAGTATGAACAATGGATTTTTGAAGAGTATTATTTGATCAGAAAAGAGTTTTTGTAGTCTGTTCGAGTCTGACGCCCTACTAGATAAATGGCTGCACCACGTGCTGGTGGTCGTTTCAGTTGAGAATGACGTCGTAGCAAAAAGTATGAACAATCGAACGTTTAGCGGATGATTTGATGAAGAAAGTGTGTTTTTCCGTCTTTTTTGAGTCCCGCTTCTGTTTTTATACAGACACGCACGCCGAGGTATGTGCTGTTGAGGTGTAGAAAGAACCGCGAACAAGAACGATGAGTAACCGATTCCGGTTATTGAAGTGTAGTCGTTTGGATAGCTTTTGTGATGAGGTTTCTATATGGTCTCTGAATAAGGATCCTGCCTCATTTTCGTATATATTTAAAGAAGTGTTCTAGCATATGACCGATTTAAAAGGAAACCGCAATGCCTGAGCGTTTTGTTTTTAACGCAAAGCATTCCATTAGAGAATATCCCGAAACCCAAGCATTCACTAGAATACGATCCTGCCTTTACATGAAAAAATCATTAATGGTCTTTTCACATCTGCTTTCATAGTTTTCCACCTCGCAGGAAGTTCTTGGAAAAAGTCTGTGGAACCTAGAAAACGACCTTTTTTCAAGCTTTTGCGCGCTAGCAGATCTCACAAGAAAAGTCTTCACAGCACTCAAACAGAATGTTTCGTACCTATTCGCAATCTTCAGAAGAACTCCAAAGAAGTCTCGCAAGGTGCCAGACTGCTTCCCGTCGAGCCTTTTTCAACTGTTTCACACTATTAAAAGGAGTTCTCTTCGGGCCAAAAACCTCTCAAAAACTTTTCGAAACGTCTTTTTCTCTGTGCCCTCAAAAGTCTCAATGAGTCTCAAAAAGTCTCAATAAGTCTCAAAAAGTCTCAATAAGTCTCAAAAAGTCTCAATGAGTCTCAAAAAGTCTCAATGAGTCTCAATGAGTCTCAATAAGTCTCAATGAGTCTGAATAAGTCTCAATGAGTCTCAATAAGTCTCAATGAGTCTCAATAAGTCTCAAAAAGTCTCAATGAATCTCAATAAGGCTCAAAAAGTCTCAAAAAGTCTCAATGAGTCTCAATGAGTCTCAATAAGTCTCAAAAAGTCTCAGAATGGTGAATACGGCCGTACACGATCGCCGTATTACGCCGTATACGACACGGCGAAATACGGCCGTAATACGGTACTTGGAAATACGGCGGATTTACGGCCGTTTACGGCTGTTCCTGGTCGCTGTAATGCTCGTTCTGGGCACTGTATACGGCCATCGTATACGGCGATTTACGGTCTTATACGGCATTGTTACGGCCGTGAAGGTAGCGTATACGGCCTTATCAATCGTCCTTGGGGCCGTGTCCAGTTATGAATACGGCCGTACACGACCGCCGTATTATGCCGTATACGACACGGCGAAATACGGTCGGAATACGGTCCCGGGAAATACGGCGGGTTTACGGCCGTAAATGGCCGTAAATCCGCCGTATACGGCGCCGTAAACGGCCGTACACGGCCGTTTCTGGTCACCGTAATGCTCGACCTGGGACGTCATGCTTGTCGGCCTCATTGCCAGTTAACTTTGATTCAATTTCCTTGAGACGTTTTTCCATCTTTGTCACCGTCTCCAATTGCTTTTCCATCTTTGTCACCTTCTCTGTGAGCCGCTTTATTTCAGTTGTCTGCCGACGAAATTCTTGTAGTAGCAATTGAAATCGTGATGGTGGTGGTGGTGCCCAACGATTCTAAAGGAAAAAAAGAATAGACAATAGTTTATATTTTTAAAAAAAAACACAGGATTGGGGTCCTACATAAATATATCAAAGAGGAGAATCAGGTGATAATTGTCAAAACTACCCACAGAGTCAAAATTTAGAAACAAGTTTATTTTTACTTATGAAACTAACGTTGAGATTAATGCATGTCTAAGTCATTAATTAATACTAAAAGTTTAATTAAGTAAAATTAATGAATCTCAAGTATATTAAAATTTGAAAATCCTAAATTCATACGCACCATTTCTAGGTATATACTACTTTCTTTACACATTGCTCTAGTTCAAATGTTTGCACGATAAAGAAAAAATATGTGAACTGATGAATGCAAGACATGCCGGACAAAGAAAAAAAATAATTGGGTACTTCTTCAGATGAACGACACCCCCGTCTTATTGGTTACATATATAAACAGAAAAGGAAAAAAAAGATATTGGTTAATCTATTTTCATCAATGAACGCAATAGAACGAGAGATGGCGTACATTGTTGTTTAATAGATTGATCATATAGTAATTATCAAAAAAAGGAACAATCCAATTATATACTGATAGGTTTAAGTTTAGTATAATCAACGATGTCCTATTTAATATCACTTCACTATCATTTTTTCATCATTTACAATGGCTTACGCTCCATTACCTGCTCTTGATGATTTATCTAATCGTGAATGGAATGAATTAACTTCAAATCTAGAAAAAACAATTAATTTATGTCAACAATTAGGTTTATTACATGTGTATCCTACTAAACCATGTCCAAAAATGCACAACAACTGGTATTTAGGTGCTTGTTCAACAGCACTCGACGAATGCAAGTGGCGTTGTCGAACATGTAAGTCTTCTCGTTCTTTGCGAAAAGATACTTTTTTTGAAGATAGTCGACTAACATTACAACAAATATTGGATTTAATGATGTATTGGTGTCAAGGATTAGATTCTCATAAATTTATTAGAAGAAATATTCAAATATTAGGTGATGCAACTATCGTTGATTGGAAAAATTTTATGCGAGATTTATGTTTGGAATATTTTATTCGTAATTCTGTAGTTATTGGTGGGGTTAATCATGTGGTGGAAATCGACGAAAGTGCATGGACCAAACGAAAGTATCATCGAGGTCGACGGGTAGGTACTCAGTGGGTATTTGGCGGTATAGATCGAGATACTCGTGAATGTTTTGCTGTACTTGTAGGTCGTCGTGATCCACCCACATTAATACCACTGATTCATCAATTTATTTTACCTGGTACGACAATCTACAGTGATAGATGGCCTGCTTATAATTTAATTAATAATGAAATTTATGGTCCTAAACGTTATATTCGTCAAACAGTGAACCATTCTGTTAATTTCGTCGATCCAATAACAGGGGTACATACTCAAAATGTCGAAAACATGTGGATGGTAGCCAAAATTAAAAAGAAAAATCAAATGGGTCAACATCGATCATTATTAGATAAAATGCAATTTTTCTTTCATATACTCTTTCTATCATTATTGAAAATGGAAATAAGGCTTAAACATATTACATGCTAATCTATTCAGAGTATGTGTCTAAGTGTAAGAAAAAGCTCGCCTTATTTATTTACACTTACCACCCGATTTTGTTGACCGACCGCTCGTCTTGTTCCGGATCGACGCTGGAACTCATGAAAGCTGCTGCTACGTTGATGAGTCGTTTCCTGAAAATATAAGATTTATTATTTATAACTCAGTATGTTGAATTGAAGAAATTACTTGTCGTCCAGGTGAGGTCGTTAACCGACGCCACCATCTGGTGGGTAACATTGAGACCGAATGAAGGTTAGGACGCTCCCGTCTGGTGGATAACATCACCGGAGGAGGATTAGGACGCCCCCGTGTGGTGGGTAACATCGAGTACGGAGGACGATTAGGACGCCCCCGTCTGGTGGGTAACGTCGAGAACGGACGACGATTAGGATGCCCCATGTTTTCCTCACCAAGAAAACTACGACCAGATTCCATCTGATAGTATCTACCAGATCCTATTTGATAATATTCATGGTCTGATCCACCAGACATATCTAAAAAATGAATTAGAAATCAAAAAAATCATGACATTTTAAAAACAAAGTATTAATTAAAACAACTATTGATTAAGATGGAAACAGTATAAAAATATAATACTATTAAAATAAAAATAAAAATAAAACTGCTGAAAGAAGAACGCTGATGAATACGGTTTGGAAGGGATACATGTACATTGCATTAATCAATGTAGTCGTATGAAGAAAATAAATTTAATAATAATATTACAATTGTGATAAGATGTTTACTATAGAAAAAAAAAACATAAGAACGTATATTCAATTCATTATTCGTTTCGTTCCTCCACGTTGAAATCATTTTATGGAAACATAGTAAACAAATTTATCTAATTTTTTCCATTTTTCATTTGTCTATTTCTAGTCACCAATCCTAGATATCGCGTATTAGTCATTCGTTTTCGATTAATACTGAACAATGAAAATACAAGATCAATCATCACTTTTATTATTATTTCTAAAAGTCAGGAACACATTTTCAGTAAAAATCTAAATGACAAACACGTGATTTTCAGATCAAACTAGCTTCAAAGACTTTATAATGGTAAATATTAGACATAAGTAAGAAAAAATATGTTTTTCTTTCGACCAACGTATTTTGTACGACTTACAATTGATGAACATACGGTAAGTACAATAGAAAAAAAAAGAGTTTGAATAGAAAGATATTTTTGTTTTAGTATGTCGCTGTGAAACATTAATATCATTACCCAGGTGGATCGTTCCGGCCGTCGGAAACGGCGTCGTATCCGGCCTGAAACGACTATAAAACGGCGAATTACTGCAGTAATTTTGGCCTTATTTCGCCGTAATCCGTCATACCGTATTACGACCACCGTCTATCGCTAGAAAACAGCGGTCGTTTTTTTCCGGTTTTGCTTCCGTAATCTGGTATGACGGATTACGGTGCCGTTTATCGACGTTTTACATCGTTAATCGCCGTTTTATAGCCGTTTCAGGCCGTTTACGACGCCGTTTTATTGGACCTGGGTATGTCATAGTCAACGAGCAATGCTTGCAGCTATCTATTGTACAAATTGTTGGTCCTTGTCTTAATCTTAATGATTATACTACTTCTAATTTACCAAAAGAAAGTTTGTTAAAATAATATAATCAGATTGCATGAAAAAGAATTTTTTGTTTTTGATAGTTCTACAACAAGCAACAAATCTCATGATTCCTCAAAAATAATCAAACAATGTTTCAAATACGTCAAACATCATGAAACAAGATAGTGAGGTGTGAGTAATTACTTCTTGAATTAATGAGATTTTGGTTATAATCGAACATTTTGATAGTGGAAGATGAAAGAAATATCGTGTTCATGAAAAAAAGCGATGTGATCGAATCAAATGTCAAGCTACTTTTTCAACACATGAAAATGCACCATGTAATTCAAAAAGCAACAACTAAACGATGAACGAGTTTCCCTGTATTTTTTTCTATTCTGCTAAAAAACAAACAAAATCTAAAGAATAATTGTCATATGAGAGCTGGAATTCAATTGCTCAGTTTAGTTCCGAAAATAGATTGACACGTTCTAACAAGACTATAATTATTATTAGCTTCGTTAGATATCAATAGGAATGCATCGGGCATCAGTATTTCTAGTTCATTACTAATAATTAATATTTTTATTTCATTTGATTATAGCAAAAAGACTATTGATAGTTTAGAACCCTATATTGACCCTACTTATATCAGTATTAATGATGAACTGGTATTGGGGCGAGAAGAATCTTATCGAATTATAAAAAGTTCCCAAAAGAGTGAACACTCGTAGACCTTATCTTCAATGTTAGATCTATTTTATACTTTTGGGACGATAAATATTAACCAATTAAATAATAGTATTTCAACTTGAAATTTGCTTCACAGATGAGAATGATTTTTGAGAAATTAATATCTCGTGAAAAAAAAACATTTTGATACTTTTCATATCTCATTGAAACTTATCTTATGCATTAAGTTCGAAACGCAAAAGCGACCTATCACTTAAAATAGTTCTCTTGTAAATAACACAAAGATTTATCAAACATAAATATCCCAATAATTTACTTAAACAATTCTTGTACTTTTCCAAAACTTAAAATTTACTTTAATCAATGTTTCTAACAATAAGATATCAAATGTATTTTTATTCAAGACTAAAATCTCTTCAAATTCATCCGATAGAATTTCTCGTTTAAGTAATCTTCCATCAATTAATTTAAATTTAAATGATAATATTGGTTCATGTACAATAACATTAATAACATCTCCGTTACATTTTTTTTTCAATTAACAGAAAAAAATCATTTCAAACATATTTATAATAATATTAATGAAACATATCTTGAATGTATATCATGTGATCGTATGTCACGTTTAACAAATTTTTCCATTAACACATTAGACATTGCACGAAATAATCGTGATCAACGATTTTATGGTGTACAAATTATTAATCACGAATGTCAACATAAAATATTAGTTGTACTTTTTTTTTTGATTTTGGTAAATATATAACTATACAAGAATCATTTATATATGAACTTATACTGGAATGTCAAATTTATCCACTACAAGCAATAAAATGTTCATTAGTTTTAATACATTCTATGAATGAAGATTGGTCACATAAAGTAATTAATTTAATAAATCGTTTTATTGATGAAAAACGTTTTCAAACACTTTCGATTTTATTCATTAAGTATAGCAATACAAACAATCAAGTGAAAACAAAAACATTTTTCTTTTAAATTAAAAATTTTTCTTTTCTTTTTATTTTAAAGACTTGCTGATCCACTATTACCTATCATCTTATATGATATGAATACATGAATTAATTAAATAAATGAACAATTAAATGAAAAGAAACTTGCAATACCTGATCCAAATTTTATGGATTATATACGTATTGCTAATTATACAATGGATGATTTAAATGGTTATAAAAATTAATGTATTAGACAATATATTGAATCTCAACGAAGTTCCACACAACAACAAACTGATAAAACACAACCAACATCATCAGTGTCTATTGAAATAAATCCAATCGATGTTCGATATGAACAATCACAAAAACAACAAATAAATAATCCAATTATTACTGCAACAAATATTGAAGTACTTCCTCTACTGGAAGATGAAGGTTAAAAGAATAGATTAGAATTACTTCCCTTTTTTCTTTCTGGTCATCAAAGTTAAGGCTTGAAATAAAAGCGACTCTGAACTAGAGCCTGTCAAATCCAAAAAATATCAGGCCTTTCTGACGAAGACTCACAAAGGTTTCTAGTTTTGTTAAGTTTTAACTACATTTTTTACCCTTATTTGATTAATATACTTTCAAACTAAAAATTTTATGTGATTTGAATTTTTTTTTCTTGATTTGATATAGAAAATTTGCCATATTGTTCACCTGGTCGTTAAACTCGAACTACGACAATGGCATGCTGTTAACGTAACACATGTAAAAACAGCGGGTGTATTTTATATTCAATATCCATTTGGTATTGTTACTTCATTTGATCAAGACAATGAACGTATGTATTTTTTTATTGACTGCAAATATCTACCAAACGAATATGAGAGAGATTAAGATTTGAGAATTTCTAAAAGCTAATTCCTTAATGAGTTTTATAAAATAAATTCTTGAAGTATTATTATTTTGAAAAACAAATTATTTGATTATCTATAATTCTAAACAATTTTTGTAGTTGACTGCTTTTTTCTAAGTTTTTTTTTGTTTTTGTTTTTGTTAAAGTGAAAACAAAAAGTTGAAGAACATAATATTGTTCATTCTTTTTTCTGATTGATAATAACGAGGCAAATTGGACAAAATCATTGGGTAGCTGAAACGATTTTCTATTAGAAAAACCAATTTTTAAAATTTTATGAAATGGCTATTTGAAAAATCAAAACTCTTCGAAATCGGTTTTCTGAACTGGCTGAAAATTTCATAAAAGCAACAGAAAACTGGATATGTAAAAGTTTAGTTTTTCGGAGACCCATTCTTCCGATTTGCCATAGCTATTATTTTTCCGAAAGAAATTTCAAAAATACATTTTTTTTTCAACTTTTTTTGCTTTTAGTTTTATATGAATACAAGAAAAGAAGAAGATTTTTGAGAACTCATATCGGATTGTGCATGAGTTTATTATTAGAAACTTTAAAGAAATAAAAAAGAATATTTCTTTCTGTTTTTATTTAAGGTTCAATTTGTTGATCAAGGTGACATACGTGAATTAGAAACAAATACAATGATTCAATTAGTTGAATTTGTTGATGGTGAATTTGCTTCATTTTGGAAAACGTTTCATCATTCACATAAATCATCTGAAACAACAAAACCAATTCAATCGACATCATTAATAAATCGTAATAATATATTATCAACAATAACAAATCTTCTATATTCTCAACAATCAAATATATCAGCAAAAACATTTTTACCCGTGTCAAATAATGAACCATCTGTTCGTAAACTTCAACCAGTATGACCTGGTCTTGCTAATTATGGTAGTGATGTTGACTATAGTCAAACATCATCAATAATGTCTAAATCTTCAACAATGAAAAAAAATCAAATGATGATAACTGTTGCAGTTGAGTTTAGAATTTAGTTGGGATTGCAATCAGTATTTGTTATTCATTTTTTCATTTAAACATTTTGTTAGAACATGAGTAAGAAAGTTTATTTGTTTTTCATATGTAATTTATGCTTGTTGTTCTTTGTTGAATTATCAAAAATATATGTCTATGGTCACTTTATTGATAGATAATTATAACTGACTATATTTATCGGTTTGTTGTCGACCAATATATCATTTACTTTTTTATTAATAGTCACTTGATGCTAAATAGTCTGCTATGGCTCTTTGTACGAATCGTAGTTCACTTTTTTTTCGATGATGGGAACATGGGGATATTGAAGGATTGGCTGCATCTGTATCACTACTATTTTCGTTGTTTGTATTTATTGAATGTCTCAGTTGTTCTCGATGATGGAAACATAGGGACTAGAGCTGCCAATCTGGCTTAGTACCCAGCAGATCCTTGCCCGGCAACCAGATCAGGCTAAATTTTGACATTTTAGCCTGGTCTGATCCTTCCACATAATATTTAGCCTGGTTATCGGGCCAGGATAGGCAAAAGTTGGTGGCCTAGTGGTACGTAATATTAATTTCTGCAATAGTCAACTGGAAACATGAGATGATGCCATAATTTCAACATTTTGTCCACTAACTTTCTCATTCATAACGTTTATAATGGATGAACAGTCTGTTAGAATATCAAAGAAAATTGAAATGAAAAATTATTCTTCTGATGTTCTTAGATTTTGGAAACGAAATGCTGACGAATTACTTTATTTATCGAAAGTGGCTAGATAAATTCACTCTATTCCAGCAACTACTGCTGGAATAGAAGGTCAGTTCAATATTGCACGACTTATATCGACACAGAAGAACTTCTTTAGATCCTGAATAGCTGGACGATATGCTTTGCATTCGTTCTGTTGCAAAATTGGATAGTCAAATGTAAATTTTTTCCTTGGTACTATTACTCACTCCTGTTCTATATTGCTGTGTATATTTCTCGTAACTCTTCGTTATATGCCTAATCATATGTTGTTTGTAGTATCATGACCGATTTTTTTTCTGATTATGTGAAACAATACTGACCGGATCAACAATTTTCTTTATTTCAAAACTTTCCTGTATGAAAAATATCCATGATGATTGCCTCTTTGTTTTTATTTGCAATTTTCTACAGGAACGTGTTATTGTATTACCTTCATAGACACAATTAAAGTCAATAATTGAGGTTGATATCATGCATTAATGCAAAGCTCTACAATTTAATGGATTTGAAAAATCAGAAACATCATTTGGTCTGGATTCGCCTGCAAGTCAGGACAGACTGGAAAAAAGTCACCTGCGGGCAGCTCTGGTCTTATTGTATCTTTCAAATTAGATTTTAAAAAATTTCAATGAAACATGGTCGATTAGTTAAATGCTTCAAACACTTTAAATGATTGACAAAGTCTTCTAGAATATTCTCAAACATAGTGTTTTCTCAAACACAAACAAAAAAACATAGTAATGATTTAAATTGAAGTATATAGCCTGATACCTTCATGAAAAATTCGATCGATAATACTGTTTAAAAAAAATGAATATACCTTCTATACGAATGTAAAAATATCCTAAACATCAAAATTTATTCATACCTCTTGAATTATTTTGTGATTCCTTGTTATTGAAAGTTAACATTCACTAAATCACAAAAGTGATCAATTCTTGTGAATTTTCACGTCGAAGTTTTCAAAGTTTATTTAGTTTGTTGTTTTTAGAATTACCACATTGATCTATATTTATTAATAGTCTCCATATAAATATCATCGATTTCGAATTAATTCATACTTTCAGTTACTTTTTCTAATGTTGTTCAAAGAAAACAAACTTAATTAATCAATATTTTAATATTCTTCATCTTAAGTCGGACAAATAGTAATACCACCACCAACACCATTTGGAAAAATTTGTGCTAACTTAAAAATGATATCACAATTTACATCAAATGGAGATGTTCAAGAATATGTATTCATCTAGGTCAAAAGCCCCGTCCAACATTAGCACAAATGAAAACAATGTTAATATTAATACCATCACCAACACTACTAAGGAAAATTTGTGCTAACTGAAAAATCATATCAAGATGTGCAGCAGCTAGAGATACTCAGAAATATGTTTTCAACTGTTTCAAAAACTCTGTCCTATGCCACAAAAAATTAAGATCATATTAATAGTAATACCACCAGCAACATCATCAGAGAAAATTTGTGCTAACTTATAAATGGTATGACGATGTGCAAAAGTCGGAGATGTTCTGGAATATATATTCGACTAGGTCAAAAAGCCCGTCCTATGCCACAAAAGATTAAGATCATGTTAATAGTAATACCATCACCAACACCATCAGGGAAAATTTGTGCTAACTTATAAATGGTATGACGATGTACAGCAGCCAGAGATGTTCTGAAAAATGTATTCAACTAGCTGAAAAGCCCCGTCTAGCACTAGCACAAATTAAAAAAATGTTATTATTAATACCATCGCCAACAGTACGAAGAAAAATTTGTGCTAACTTAAAAATCATATGAAGATGTGTAGCAGCTAGAGATGCTCTGAAATATGTTTTCAACTGTTTCAAACACGCCGTCGTATGTGGAAAAAATTAAGACCATGCGAAAGATAATACCACCACCAACACCATCAGGGAAAATTTGTGCTAACTTATAAACAGTATGATGATGTATAGCAAGTAGAGATGCTCAAAAATATGTACTTAACCAATTCTGAAACCTCGTCACACATGAGTAGAAAGGAAAAAAATGTTAGTATTAGTACTACCACCAACACCATTAGAAAGAATTTGTGCTAGCTTTAAAATGATATGACGATGTACAGCAGCCGGAGATGACAATGTACATCAACCAGAGATGTTAAAAAATATGTATTTATCGGGATGAAAATGCGCGTCTAACACTAGCAAAAATTAAAATAGTGTTATTATTAGTGTCACCTGGAACACTATCTGAGAAAATTTGTGCTAACTTAAAATCTATATGTGAATGTACGGTCGGCAGGGATGTTACGAAATATGTATTCAACTGTTTGAAAAGTTCCGTCGGAGGCTAGCACAAATTTAGATTATGTGGCTATTATTACCACCACCAACATCATCAGGGAGAATTTGTACTAACTGAAAAATTTTATGAATCTGTGAAGCAGCTATGAATGTTCCATAAATATGTGTCGAAGTGGTTCAATAGGCGAGTCTTTTCATAGAAAAATTCAGATGATGTTAGTATTAGTAACGTCGAAATTTGGTAGCCTAGAGTTTTGCCCATTTTGAATTGACGTTTTATGATTACGATATTAGTTGAATAGTGATCAAATACCATACACAGATAGAGAGAAAGACGCTCTATTTGTTCAAAAAAAAAAGAAAACTTTTTCAAGCTTTCTGTAAGAAAAAAAAGTACCTGTGCCATTATTTTTGGTACACTCTAAGTAGAATTTTTTGAAAATATTGTTTTTTTTTTATTGTTGCTATATCTACATATTTTTAATCACGCTTGTTTTCATGTTCTTCGTTCATAATAAAAATGCATGTCATTTGCATATAATTAAGCAAGAATGCTAATCATCATTTAATTCAAAAAAAAAATTTAAGCGAAAAAGATAATTCAAATATATCATCACCACGGCGGCCATTTCCAAAATATATTTATTTTATGCTCCTCCTTAATGGTGTTTTGCGAATATTACGATATCTATTGGTTAAAGAATCACCCAATAGAATCATTATTTTCGTTAGGCTGAATGATCGGGTTGGGCTAGCTTTCACGACGTCAAACTTGTCATATGTTCGATGTCGATCAAAGCGACATCAGCTAAGAAGTTTTCAATGGTTTATTTATTTCACCAATTGATTTTTGCTTATAAAAAATCAAGTTATCACGTATATCTAAAATACTTTTTCATTTACTATAAAAATCTTTCATAGCTTGTATTTCGAAAACATACAAAAATATTGATGTCGCTTACAGCTGACAATTTATTTCAAAATAAACCGTTATTCTCTTATTATATTTCATATTACTTTCGAAAACGATCAACATTAGAAGTAATAGATTCTTTTTTTCTATCGCTTATCACATTCGTTGTTATTATTTCGTAATTTCAAAAGAAAGAAGAACATAGAAGCAAATCGATGATTCGTTTTTTTTATCTTTTTTTTTTCAAAGCATGCTTATCAACAATAAGTGTGATTTAAATCGTAATGATTATCATTATTATCTATCTTCTTCTGTATTTATTTGTAAACTGATAGTTTATCTTATACTATAAATACTATGTGGTTTAACATGAGCATTTTTTCTTTTAAATGTCAGTATTGTTTCGTTTGTATCGTTTACCAAAATGTTACAGATCAACTGTTGTCTATATGTCAACAATAACAACAAAAACTATTGATGGTAAAGAAATTGCTAAGTAAGTTTAAATTAAATTAAAAAAAGAAAATTAAATCGTTTTTTGATTCTTTTTTTTTTTCTATTAATTAGAAATATACGTGAAAAATGTCGTTTAATGCTTGATGAACTTCGTAAACAAGAAAATAATTTTACACCAGGTTTTGCTGTTGTTCAAGTTGGTAATCGAGAAGATTCAAATGTTTATATTCGACATAAATTAAAAGCAGCCGAAGAAATTGGTATTCAAGCTCGTCTTGTTCGTCTTGATCCTTCAACAACAGAAAGACAAGTTTGTTTGTTTATTTGAAAAAAAAACAAATATTTATTAAAAACAAAAAAAAATGTTTTTTTTTTTAAAGTTAGTTCAACAAATTGAACAACTTAATGGTGATCCATCAATACATGGTATTATTGTTCAATTACCATTTGATTCTGTTCAAACAATTGATGCTAATCGTATTGCAAATACAATTTCACCAGATAAAGATATTGATGGGTAAAAATGAAAACGAAAAAGAAATTTTCATTTGAAATTAAATTTCTTATCATAATTAGATTATCAGATCTTAATGCAGGACTTTTATCACATGGAAATTTAGATAAATGTTTTGTTCCATGTACACCATATGGTTGTTTAGAATTGATTCGATCAACAGGTATGTTAATTTTTTTGTTTTATGCATGAGCGATTTCATTCATGAGTTATATGATTGTACAAAATAATGATGACTTTTAAATTTCGTTTTGTTAATTTTTATGTAACAGATGTATGTTGAAAGATCAAGGTTTTAGCTATTTGTTGATTACTCTCACAAAAAAAAAAAACTCAACTTACATTTATTTTTTTTTCTTCCTTTTCGTATCATTCGATACCTAATAAGTTAAAAGTGTTTGCTTACAAGGGAACCTCTTCAGCTGTCTTCTTTCGATTTCAATGATTTTTTTTTGTCTATAGATAATACATTGTGTTCTAATAAAAACCTTAAGTTTTCGAAAGACTCGTATTTTTAAATTTTAATCTGAAACTTTATACATGTAGAGAACTCAACTAGACTAGCTTCATTAAAAAAAAAATGTTTAAAACGTCTAAATTTTTTTAAGGAAATTAGTCTAATTGAGGTGCCTATATGCACAAATTTTTTGATCAGAATTCGATAGTTTAGTCAAACCCAAATCTATATAGAATTTTTATTAGAAGACTATAGAGTATCTATAGGCAAAAAAAATCATTGAAATCGAAAGAAGGAAGTTGAAAAAAGTATTGTGTTAACAACTATTCCACATTGCATTAAGTGGAAAATTAAAGTTACTTGTGTTGAATTTGCAGCATTTAATTGTCGACCATTCAAAATAATTGATAATGTTGGTTTTAGAAATCTTGCAGAAAAAAATTTTAATGTTGGTTCATATTTATCTAAGGAGAGCTGCTAGTACACGGCTCCTTAGTTGAACAAAATAAACACTAAGAATTTGCTAACTATTTTTCAAAAGCAGAGAAATCAATGATATTTTTCTGTAGCATCTTGTAAAGTAAAATTAGAAATTTTTTTCATTAGGTGAAAAGTAACGACTATTATATCATAATTGATCAAAGAACTCTGTGATTTTTAGTTTGTACAACATGTTACGAATTGTTTACGTTAGAAGAAATTCGTTTTTTTTAGACAATTATTACGAGCATCACTGCCTTCAGTAGTAAATAAACAATACGGCTATGTTTTCTAATTTTGCTTAACTCAAAAGTTCCTTGTGCATCTCTCTACTGCTCATTCATTTCTTCCATCATACATTCTGGTGTATTTGTTCCATCGAGTTATTATTATTAAAAGACTAGTATTTCCAATGTGACACAAAAAGAATACAGAGGTTCTTACTGTTCACGCATTTCCATTTACAATATCTACACTCAGTGCGAATATGGAAATAAAAAAATCTTTTTGTAAATGTATGAGAAGTCCGAAAACTAATTCTAAATGGTACGAATCCTTCTTGAGAACAGCACAACAAAAAATTTTATAATTGAATTCTGATTGTTAAACTTTGTTTTTTTTTGATATGGGAAAAGAACACTTGTTTAAAAAAAAATCATTCTAATAGAGAATTAAAGTCAAATCGGAGATGGCCATATTCCGTTCGTTTGCTGATTTTGTTCATATAGTTTTATTAATGATCTTTATTTTCTTTTTTTGTTTTTTTGATTAGGCACACAAATTGAAGGAGCAACAGCTGTTGTTGTTGGTCGAAGTAAAATAGTTGGTACACCAATGTTTGAATTACTTAAACATAATAATGCAACTGTAACGACATGTCATTCGAAAACAAAAAATATTCCAGAGATTGTATGAAGATTTATTTTGTTGAAAAATTTAACAAAAACAAAAAATAAGAAATTTTTTGTTTAGATTAAAACAGCTGAAATTGTTGTTGCTTGTTTGGGTAAACCAAAATTCATTCAAGGTTCATGGCTTAAAGAAAAAGCTGTTGTTATTGATTGTGGTATTACATCAGTACAAGGTATTGATATATTTTTTTTTATTCAATTTCTTATTCAAGTTGACTTATTATTTTTAGTTGAAAATGGTAAAAGTCGTCTATTCGGTGATGTTGATTTCGAATCATGTCAAGGTATTGCTTCTTGCATAACTCCAGTTCCTGGTGGTGTTGGTCCAATGACTGTTGCTATGCTCATGTAATTTATTATTTTGTCAAAAGATTTCATAAATAAAAGAACTATTATTTTTTTTTTCTGTCATTAGGCTTAATACAATTACTGCTGCTCAACGTTATTTAAATTCTTATTCAACATCACAATGGAAATCTATGACATATTTACCACTTACACTTGAAACACCTGTACCATCTGATTTAGATATAGCAAAAAAACAAATTCCAAAAGATATTAAACAATTAGCACGTGAAATTCATTTACATGATAATGAACTTGAATTATATGGAACAAAAAAAGCTAAAATAAAACTTAATGTACTTGAACGTTTAAGAAATGCATCAAATGGAAAATATGTTGTTGTTTCTGGTATTACACCTACACCATTAGGTAAATGAAAATTAAATTTTAATGATTAAAAAAAAAAAAAATTTCATTTTCTCTTAGGTGAAGGAAAAAGTACAACAACAATTGGTCTTTGTCAAGCACTTGGTGCACATTTAAAAAAAAATGTTATCGGTTGTTTACGTCAACCTAGTCAAGGACCAACATTTGGTAAAACATGAGTGAAAACTAACGTTTTTTTTTTTACTCTCCAGACCATCTTGTTCATATCTAATCAATAAATTTTCTTTATTAGGTATCAAAGGTGGTGCAGCCGGTGGTGGTTATTCTCAAGTCATTCCAATGGAAGAATTCAATTTACATTTAACCGGTGATATTCATGCAATAACAGCTGCAAATAATTTATTAGCAGCTCAAATTGATGCACGAATGTTTCATGAAAATACACAAACTGATCAAGCTTTATTTAATCGTCTTGTACCAACAGTTAATGGTAAACGAACATTTTCACAAATACAACAAAAACGTATAAATAAATTAAATATTAATAAAACTGATCCAGCAACATTAACTGATGATGAAATACGAGCATTTGTACGTTTAAATATTGATCCATCAACAATAACATGGCAACGAGTTATTGATACAAATGGTAAGAATATCGAAATAAAATTGAGATATGTAAATTTATTCTTTTTTTTTTTTTTTGTTGTTATAATTTAGATCGTTTCTTACGTAAAATTACTATTGGACAAGCATCAACAGAAAAAAATTTTACACGAGAAACTAATTTTGATATAACTGTTGCAAGTGAAATAATGGCTGTTTTAGCATTAACAACTTCACTTGCTGATATACGTGAACGATTAGGTCGAATGGTTGTTGCATCTAGTCGAGATGGTGTACCTATTACAGCTGATGATCTTGGTGTTAGTGGTGCATTAGCTGTACTTATGCGTGATGCAAGTATGTTGTTTTTATTTTTTTCATTAAAAAAACAAAAAATCAAATACTTAATAAATATTATTCTAGTTAAACCAACATTAATGCAAACATTAGAAGGTACACCAATTCTTGTACATGCTGGACCATTTGCAAATATTGCTCATGGAAATTCATCAATTTTGGCTGATCAAATCGGCTTAAAACTTGTTGGATCTGAAGGATATATTGGTATGTATAGAGTCATATATACTAAAGCTATCGATATAAAATATAAATTCCTTTTTGCCCAACAAATTATTAGTAAACGAGTTTATTTCATTTATTCCATACTGTGTGGAATGAGAAAGAAACAAATATTATTCTGTGAAAAAAAAAGGAAGATCATCGTTGGTAAGAAATATTTTTAGAACAATACAACCAACGCATATCCTAACATATGGATACAATGTTCAATAGGTTTTTTTTCTAAAGAATAAAACCTAACTGAAAAAAACGAAAAATTAATTTTTCTTTTGTCAAAGCCTTTTAATTAATACTCAACAGAATTTTACCTAATATGTTACTATTTTACAAAAATCTCTTTATGCGTTACACGTATGAATATGCATTGTGTCCATTGGATTCTATGACCATAGGAACATTTTTTCTGTATAAAGAATCTTTTTACAGTCTTTTTTAATAGAGAAGTTGTTTCTCAAGACTTTTCTAACCCGAAACGGACACGTTGTTACCAAGATGGAAACAAAATATTATTCACACTTCTGAGTGAGATCTTCTAATGTGTCGAAGACTGTTTAAAAGCTTATCAGAATGTTTTTCTTTCCCTTGTATTTTATCTAAATTTGAAGATTAGTATTTCGAGAGTTTATGACACATTCGTACTAAACTGAAGAGAATAATAGTTGAGAAAAATGTACTCCGAAGGATTTGTTTGTGAGTCTTCTTTCAATCCCGTACCCTCTGTCTTTCTCTTTTTTGTTTTTCACAATCGATATTTTTCCATCCTTCCAGATATTGGAATAAAAATTAAACAAATAATTTCTCATTTGAGATGTTAATCTATTATTAAGTCTCATGATTCTAAGAAGATCCTCAAAAATTTCATTGAAAACAATTGTTTTCTTCTTGAAATATGCAAAGTTCGAAAATTCTTAATTTTCGTATGCATTTCTGAAATCTAATTGAATTTTGAATATTAAATATCTGAAGAAGACGTTAACTCTTTTATCTAAAGCTTTTATAATTTGAAGTATAACAATGAAAAATAAATATGTAATATCTAATTTTTCATTCAAGTTACTGAAGCTGGTTTTGGTTTTGATATTGGTTGCGAAAAATTTATGGACATTAAATGTCGTTATTCGGGTTTAATACCAAATTGTGTTGTACTTGTTGCAACAATGCGTGCATTAAAAGTTCATGGTGGTGGACCAAAAGTTGAAGCAGGTTCACCATTACCTCCTGAATATTTACAAGAAAATTTACCATTACTTGAACGTGGAACACAAAATTTAATTAAACAAATTGAAAATGCAGGATATTTTGGTGTACCAGTTGTAGTTGCAATCAATAGATTTAAGTAATTTTTGAAAAAAAAAAAATGAAGTTTCAAACGTATTTTTATTTCTATGTGATTTTTCGTATAGAACCGATACACAAGCAGAAATTGATTTAGTTAAACGTTTAGCAATTGAAAATGGAGCTTTTGATGCTGTTATGGCTGATCATTGGGCAAAAGGTTTTCAAAAAAGAAAATTTATAAGAATTCAATTGACATTTATTTTTATTTGACTAGGAGGAAGTGGTGCAAAAGATTTAGCTAGTGCAGTAGAAAAAGCATGTTTACAAAAACCTGATTTTAAATTTTTATATGAATTACAAGTAAATATTTTCATTAATATACATATATTTTTTTTTTAATTCTTTTATTCGTTTTTATATAGTTACCTATTGAAGAAAAAATTCGTATTATTGCAAGAAAAATTTATGGTGCTGATGATATACAACTTTCTGAAATAGCTCAAAAACGTATTAATTTATTTACACAACAAGGTTTTAATGATTTACCAATATGTATGGCTAAAACACATCTTTCACTTTCACATGATCCATCATTAAAAGGTTGTCCAAAAAATTTTATTTTACCTATACGTGATATACGTGCTAGTATTGGTGCTGGTTTTCTTTATCCATTAGTTGGTGAAATGTCAACCATTCCAGGTTTACCAACACGTCCATGTTTTTATGATATTGATATTGATCCAGTAACTGAAGAAATTTATGGACTTTTCTAATCATTATTTAAAATGTGATTTGCTTATTTTTTTTTTTTTGTTTCTGCTTTACGATAGAAATTTATTTGATTTATATTCATTAGATGATAGAAGGTGATGGGTAATAATTTCGTATTATTTTAGATAATTATTTTTTTCCAAAAAATAAAAATAAACTAACCGATCAATGATTTAATTAAAACATGTAATTGAAAGTTTGATCGTTGAAAATTATCGAAGATACCATACAGTGGCGTAACCAGGAATTTCTGAGCCATGGACCATTTCCCAGTTAAATTATTTTGCAGATTGAACAACAATAGGCAATTCAAAATCACTTGAACTATAGTTTTTGAATACTTATTAGCATCACAAACATTATGATCCCTGAAGAGAATTAAAACGGAAAATGTTATAAGTTTTTCCAATCTATTACCCCAAAAAATCAAAAGTGAAGAGCAAAAAAAAATCGTTTTTACCAATTTATTGGGCAATTGCCTAATGGCCACCTTCCTGGCTACGCCACTGATACCATATGTTTTCTTATGAAATCTAAAGAAGTTGCCAATTCTCGTTAATTGATAAATTAATTTTTAGTTTATTTGTTTGAAAAAGGAAAAATTTTCTCAAGATGACAAATACAATTGAACGAGATTTAACACAAAAATTAGAAAAAAATCATTTAGAAGCATCATCAACTGAAAAAGAAGCAGCTGATATTATAAAAGAACAAGCTAATGAAGCGTTTAAAAGTAAAAATATTTCTTTTTTTTTTTGTAATTGTAAGTATTTATATAAAATAAAATTTCTAATTAGATAGTGATTATGAAAAAGCAATTGAACTTTATACAAAAGCAATTCAAATTCATCCAGATGCTATTTTATATTCTAATCGAAGTTTTGCTTATCTTCGTCGTGGATGGTATGATTATGCATTAATAGATGCTAAAAAAGCATTGGAATATGATTTCAATCATATTAAAGTATTTCTTATATATGTATATATTTTAAACATTTATTATTTTTGTATACTAAGGCATATTATCGACGAGCATCTGCTTATATGGCATTAGGAAAATATAATTCAGCATTATGTGATTATGAATACGTTAGTTGAATTATTTTGTTTTTGAATATTTAATTTTTTATTCTGAATTAATAAAAAAAAAAAAAAAGGTAATAAAAGCTTGTCCCAATGATAAAGATGCAACAACGAAATATGAAGAATGTAAAAAAGCTGTTACACGTATTCATTTTGAAAAAGCAAATGCTGCTGATGAATCAACAGAATCTGCTGTTAATCAAATTGATCTTAGTTCAATGAGTATGTTTTAGATATATCAAAAGAAATTTAAATATTGTTAGACATGTTTTGTTTTTTATTCAGCCATAGAACCAGATTATGATGGTCCACATTTAAATGTCAATGGTCATGTTACAAAAGAATTTATGTCTGCACTTTTACCTTATTTAGAAAATCAAAAAATACTTCATAAAAAATATGCTTATCAAGTATAAATAAATCTTTTCTTTTTCTTGTTTATAAAATAAATAATAAAAATTTAATTTAGATTATTTTACAAACACTTTCATTATTAAAATCATTACCAACATTAGTTGAAATAACTGTACCTAATGTAAGTCTTATAGAGAATAGATATTCATTAATAAAATTTTCTTTCTAGAAACATAAATTTACTATTTGTGGAGATATACATGGACAATATTATGATTTATTAAATATTTTTAAATTAAATGGATTACCTTCTGAAGAAAATCTATATGTAAATTTTATTGAATAATTTACTTTGAATTTTTTTTTTTTGTATTTTTCTTTAGTTATTCAATGGTGATTTTGTTGATCGTGGTTCATTTAGTATTGAATGTATTCTTACTTTATTTAGTTTTAAATTACTTTATCCAAATCATTTTTTTCTTGCACGAGGTTAAATTGAATTTTCGTTTTGACAAAGAAATATTATTTTCTGTTTTTTTGTTTTTCATTCTAGGTAATCATGAATCAATGACAATGAATCAAATGTATGGATTTGAAGGTGAAGTCAAAGCAAAATATACTGCTCAAATGTTTCAATTATTTACTGAAGTTTTTAATTATTTACCATTAGCACATTGTATTAATAAGAAAATACTTGTAAAATTTAGAGTTTTTATTTTTCTATAGAGGAATAATTTTTTTTCTATGATTTTTAGGTAATCCATGGTGGATTATTTAGTAAAGATAATGTTACATTAAAAGATATTTGTGCTATTGATCGAGTTAGACAATCACCTGACGAAGGATTAATGGGAGAATTATTATGGAGTGATCCACAACCACATAATGGGCGATCTAAGAGTAAACGTGGCCTTGGTAAATAAAAATAAATAAGATTTGTTTTTTGATTTTGTGGAACTTACATTAAGTGTTTAGAGAGAAAGAAAGATATAGTGAATGTAAGTTTTAAGTCCAGGTTTTGCAGCTCCCACCTAATAGCAATGGATCGGAGGAAGACCAACGATCATTCAGTACGTTCTCATAGCAGTGAAAAAAGGCGCTTAACAACATTAACAACAAAAAATTCAACTTCTAGAAAAGTCTAATGCCTTCTGTGAAAAAAAAACAAGCGAATAACTATAAGGAAAGAAAAAAAAAATTCTGTTCGAAATACAGAAATAAATAAAACAGATCTTTAGAGTATAACTTTAGTCCACTAGAGAATTTTCACTTGATATATTTTGTATTAATATAATGAGACTAAAAAACACATGCAAATTTCATATTTTATCTGCGAAAGAAAGCTGCTCTGACAAGTTTTTCACATATATTTTGTTTTAGGTATTCAATTTGGACCTGATGTGACTGAACGTTTTCTTAAATTAAACAATTTAGAATATATTGTTCGTAGTCATGAAGTTAAACAACAAGGTTATGATATGGCTCATAATAGTAATAAGAAATCTTTAGTAATAATCTATTTAAATATATTTTTATTTACTTTAGAAAAATGTATCACTGTATTTTCGGCACCAAGGTATTGTGATACAATGACGAATAAAGGTGCTTTTTTAACAATAACTGGCGATGATATAACTCCTAAATTTACATCCTATGCAGCTGTACCTCATCCAGCAGCACGACCAATGACGTATGCTAATTAATCATCATTGTTTGGTTTAATATAGCGTAGCATTGATAATAAATATTTACTTTTAATCCAGAATATTTTGTATTATTCCGGTGATTCATGTCTCCTGTTCTATATTTTTTTAACTTAACTTTTTTGAATTTCGTTGTTATATATTTGCTTTTTGTGTTGCTAATCTTCATTGTCGAAATTTTGTACTGCTCTGATCTCACTTTAGGTATGTTTCCCAGTTTTCGTTAGCTCTTACATTCCATTAATATACAAAATTTTTCTAATGCAGAAAATAAATAAAAATATGTGAACGATAATGGTACTAATATTTCTATTTTTTTGGCAAACGGTAAATCTCATTTGCTATGACGAATGTTTATAAAGTAATTGAAAACAGAAAAAATTGAACCATTTATTCATGTATGTTTTTTTTAATCCTCAAGTTATTCCATGATAAGTTTTGAATATTAGAATTTATGTAAGATCGAAAATGTTTCAATAAAAATGAACTAGAATTGAATTATCTTAAGAATGATTTTATTTAATTTTTATTAAGGATACGAGGTGTGGGATGTGAGTGAGGAGAGAACAAGACGCCAAGCTTCAGACTGATGCTAATCCGGCCCAGTTTCTATCGATTTTTTTGTCGATTTTCATTGCTTGAATATTCCAGAAGGACGACTTTGAAAACTCAAGTCGATAAAGGCCTGGTCGGTATTGAAATTCCAGCTTTTCATATTAATATAATGCTTCCCACTTTAGAATAAGCGATGTCGCACTATACTGAATGCATTGATGATGATCAAGAAAAGTTACCTACTAATCTAGAACCTAAACTCTATCAAGACTAGGAATTTTTCGTCTCCAAATTTTATGCTCACTTCTACAATGCTTGTTATCGACTGTCGGAAACCCTTGACGACCAGCAAATCTCAGATCATGTTCTGAATGCACACATAACAGAAAAAGCCGTTTTAATTTGAAATTTTTGTCTCCTGCTAGTCTTATACAACTTAAAAAAGAAACTTACATGTTAACAAAAATAAAAATAAAAATAAGTAGGCTATTTTAAAATCTAACATTTTACTCATTTAGTTTTCCTATCGGTACTAATAACTGGCGAATGGATCAGTCCTTCACTCTACTTTCAACTACGTAAAACATGATTTCGAATAACGAAAACATCAAAATTGCCACTGCTTGTGAAGTCATGCATTTATTAAGAAAAACCAGCTGAAATAAGATACAGATATTGTCATAATTAGATCACTTGTTGAAAGGTATTACATGAAAAGTTTTGAAGCCTTTTTTTCTCACGTCTTCGTATTAGTGTGTATCGCACGTTACAGACCCAATAAATGATGTTAGCATTAGAAATCTCAAGAGCTATATAAATTTCACTTAATCTCATTGTGCATTTGCATTAAGAAAGTATTTCTCGAAAGAAGTACTTTGTTAATTTATACATGAAGGGTTTGTTTTCCATTGATTGTTTGTGGATTGAGTCAAAGATTTCAACCGCCCGCTATGATCCAATTGAAAAAAATTTAATCCGTTCCAAGTCTTCAAGACATCCAACTCCAAACCAACATCTTATACATATCCACATTCATATCCAGGCTCTCAAAACGACACAATAACGAAACCAATTTTACATTTTCAACTACACATCGGTACACACACCAATATACGGCCACAGTCACAGACGTCGACACTCAAACCGTCACAAGTTGTCCCTTTGCTCAATTGCTACCAATACTCAAGCTGAAATTCGCGTCACGCACACTCCCTCCCCCCTCCCCTTGTACACGTCATACCCATTCAATCATACACTGCCAGACATCACACTTATATGCACGCACATGCACACGGCAGTTTTGCAACCGGTAGAGTTTTTTCTAGATCGGTAATAGTGTAGGGCAGATTGCATAAAGAGTATCAAGACGTCGATCATCTGTTTGTCTCGTGCTTCACAACAGATTTATCGCAAGAAATCTACCATGGTCGGACATGGACTGTAGATGTCTTAGACTTTTCGAAGACGACTAGAGTAGGAGTGACGATATGAGCGACTGCAAGGTAGAGAATTCTGTTTCTCATTTAATATATAGATACCTCTTTGCAACTGAAATCCTTTCACCAATGTCAGCATCTTGATGTCGCACAAGTGCAATGTTGTTTATTAACGCTGCAATAATATGAGAGTCGTTGTTCAAACTTCAAAGTTTGCTTTTTCTCTGTTCTTTATTTGCGACATAGAAGGAATATGCTAACAGAAGCCTTTTTTGTATCGTGAAGCGAAATGCAATTAGCTCTCTGTTCATTCTATTAAAGAACGTGCACATTACCTACTGGTAAGTAAGAATTCCAACTCTTACCAAAAAAGATTCCATCGCTTCTTTTTGAAACGTAGTTGGATTTCGTATGGTCATAGATGCTAAATAGGATGTGGATGTTAGTCCTGGTATTGAAATTCTCTACTCTCACACCCAGCTTCAGATCGATATTTACCCACGCTCTCGCTGACTCATAGCCATTCCTTTGTTCTGATAGTTTGTATTTTTCACTTAATGATGCACAATAAGTTTTTGGTGGCACTCTTTCCAACAGCAATGTCCAAGGACTGAGAAATAGGAATTCCTAATTTGCAGAGGAATTGTCAGTGCAGCTATGATAATTCCTTGGGGAAATGGGAATTGACCATTATTTCCATCACAGTTTCCTCATTCATGAAAATCAAAATAATTTTTTTTTTGCAATAATTTTCGTATTCATACGTTAATGTGCACGAATTTCTTGATGAAAACGAGTGTAAGAGTAATAAGTACCGTGGATATTGTATTTTTTTAATTTTAGCATTCAAGGAAATGTCAGGGAGCTGAGTAGGAATTTCTATTCCTCAGTCCTTGGACACCCCTCCTTTTTTTACGATAGTGCCTCCAGAAAAGACCTAATTATCTTGAGAATGGAACAATATTTTCTCAAACAGCTTGCAAAGAAAATTCATCAAACACTTGCTCCTATAACATATATAAAAACCAACCAAATCGGTGATCATCGTTTGAGCAGCTTCCGTAGGAATCGATCGTGGCTTATGTGGAATGGCTCGTATATAGCATTCGGAAAATATACATCAGCATTATATGATTATGAACCTGTCTGTTGAATTATTTTGTTTTTGGAAAATTTTATTCTTGATCTGAACTAAAAATGTAAAAAAAAAATGTTATACTTATTCGTTTTGAAATTACTTTATTCATTTGAACTATTGATTTAAATTATTTTAAATATTTCAAATGCTGGTGAAACGATCAAGAACAAAAACTAGAGTTAACAATTGCTATCAAATAAATTTTTAATATATTTTAATCAAAAAGATAAAAAATTTCTATATTTTCAGGCAATTAATTGTTTTCTTATAAAATAAATTTACTTATTAGAAAAATCTTTTGAAAAACTTGTAAACCTTTATTGATATATTTTTTTGTGAATACAAACTTGTTAGATTTAATTTGTATGATTTTTGTTGAAATATGCCTTAAAATTGATACTTAATCCTTTTTCATCGATTCCTTCAATGTAGGTTGTGTCTGGTTAGGGATCGACTGTTTTGTTAGAGAAGATTCGTCTAGAAATATGATTTTCTATTGTCAAGAAATCTTTACTACATTATGTGATCATCAGTGGTACACTCGGATTAGGTCAGATCACGAAAAAAGCAGATCACATCGAGTCGGGTCGAGTTACAAAAAAATTTTGAGTTTTGCAGTAGATCTACAGTCTGAACATTTTGTAAATACAAAAGGCATTTGGAATATTTTTTTCATTTAAAAGTTTTGTAAGAAAGTGTAGAAGAAGAAGTTATGTATCGCACGACCTTCTCTTTATTGACATTTGGCAACGATGTATAGTAGATGCACTGTCTGTCCAATTGTGATACAAAGATAGCCGGTTATATACATAAGAAAAGAAAGACAAATAAGACAAAATTCTATCACATAATTGTATTGTCCCAACTGCGAAATATCAAGGACATATTCTTTTTTTCCAACTATGAAATGAAAGGAAGAAAAAAAGATTGTGAAATCAATTTTCTCAAGAGAAAGAGAACAGTGATCGATACTTCGATCAGATCGAGTCACAAAATTTGATCCATATCAAACACCACTAGTCATTGTGACTAAGGGATTATGCGTGCAAATGTAAATGATGAGAAGATCTACACTCACATCTACACCTTCTTCGACGAATCTCCTCTAAAAAAAATGATTGAATTCGAACCTGACATAATCTACATCATTTTTTATGCACACATAATTTATTAATGTTACAGATGAAAAAATTTTACTTATTGCTGATTATTATACATTAAACAAATAAAATAAAGTAAAGTTTTTTTTTTTCAAGTGAATACACCTGGTTCTCGTTTAATCTCATTAGTATTAAATTGTTCAACCAAATTTTGATTGACTGAAACTGTTTGTGTATTTGAAACTAAAATAATATAAAAATAATAATAATAATAATAAACATGTTCAATGGTAATTTTACCCGTATTGTTTATGCAAAGTGATTTAATAAATGGAGCAGTTAATTGCTTAGCATCATCGAAACCTTGATAACCATGTAATTCTATATTATTATACCAATCGACTATTTCATTTCGACTAATACATTGATGATTGACAAAATATTGTAATAAAAATGTCATCATTTCTCCTAAGAAGATTATTCACATATATTTAATAAATAATTAAAAAAACAAAATTTTTAATTTACTCTTATTTCCTTGAATGCTTTCATTAAAAAAGAATGCATGTATACCTAATAATACAACATAACTGGAATGACGATTTCCTACATGTTCTTTAATAGTTGATAGATGTTCATTAAGAAGAATAATTTTTTCATTGATTCCTAACTTTCTATGCCAAGCTGTAAGATACGAACAAACAAGAATAGGAAACTGGAAATGAGGACCTTGTTGCTAATTTTAAAAAAAAAATTATACTTTTAAAATATAAATTACGCTGTATTGGCTTACTTTAATATAGTTGCCAATATCAATCTTACTTTGTTCTATAGATGATATATTAGCAAACATGTCAACAAGTCGTTTAAATGAGCGATATTTTCGTAGATTTATAACATCATCTGTTGAAGAATCAGTCGAAAGCTTTCTTTTTCGAGGTAAATCGTGAATATCTTAAATATAAAACAAAATTTAATTTCAAAAATTAATGTTGTGACTCCTAGACAAAGCCTACTTGATTTTGGTATATTCATTGCAATCTGCATCAACGACGAATCTTCAGGAGGCGATTGAGAATTAATTGGTGATGGTAATATTGAGAAGTTCCATTTTAATTGTGAACTGTGTTGCTGTACTTTTTTAATTGTTCGATGAATATGATGAAGTCTTTTCATAATGGCATCCTTGTGAGATTGTATATGTACTAATTCTTGTCGAGCATCACGATCAAGTACATCAGCTAATTCTTGATGTAACATATTCAAAGATTCTTGTTGAGATTCAATGGAATCTAAATTATTTTTATACATTTGTTCCATTTTTTCTATTTGTTGTGTTCGCCATTGATTTAATGATGTTAATAAATCATTATATGTATCTTTAGTTTTATCATATTTGTCATTAATTTGTTGAAAAGTAGCTTCAAGTTCATTTGAAAGATTTTGAATACTACTAGGAATAATTTTATTATGTTCAGTTATATGTTGAAGACATAATCGACGATTACAATGTAAACAAATAGCTGATTGTAAATTTGTACATGATGAAGGTTCTTCACATGCAAAGCTTGTCATATTTATCTAAAACAAAAATCAAATGAAACATATTTTTTCTTTTTTTGGAAAATTTTCATTTAGCAACTATTTTCCCGGTATTGTCAACATTCTATATTACAGCAATAAAATCAATGATTGTAATACAGCAATTTGACCTGCCTAAATAAATGTAATATAATAAAGTATACATTGACGTATGTGAAGAGAAGAGAATACACTGTTTTTTTATTTTTTGTAAATCATTTTTTTATCGTTCTGTAGTAGCTATTGAAGACACTACACATGAAACAATAGACATTCGTACTTTTTTTTTCGCTTGATATAACAAACAGAAAAACAGACAACATTGTATGATAGGACGATAATACTATGTATACAAGAGAGAAGCATAATCAAAGTGTCATACAATAAAAAAAAAATAGAGGCGTAGAAAAATAACATAAAGTTTTATTTGTAATTTAACTTTCAGAAGGCTAATACGTGTCGTTGAAAGTAGTCCAAGCGAAGCGATTAAAT